GTCTCTCTGTCTCTCTCTCTGTCTTTTTGTGTTATTACTTTTCCTAATCAGCATTTTTTTTTTTTTTTGGAAACGTTTTTGCTATAGGGCATGCGCTTTTTTTAGGGCAGTCACCCTCTGAATTTCTCACAAGGATGCCTATTCCACTAATGAATGGCTGTCAACCATAACAAAGTAATTCTGCAGTTTCCAGCTATCTCCTCTTACCCCATTGACCCTAATTTTGTCCTTAGCTGCAATACCTTTCCCCGTGATTGAGTTAAGTTTCTCTTTGTGTGCTACAACTGGACCTCTTCGGGACATGGGAAGAGAAGTGCTTTCTCTGAGAGGCTTGACTCCCCTTGTTTGATTCACACTGAACCTCCAAATGAAGAGAGGACGACCTTTGAACTTTCTTTTTGGCCAGTGTTTCTTGAGCTTTAAAAATTCTATTATAGTTGCTTAGCTCTTAAGCGTATGACTATTAGTTGTTAAAATATAATGCCCCTCTGTCTTCATCAGAAACGCTAAAGCCTCCCTCTATTTTCATCGCTGGCGTGTTAGTATGACTTGGTGTCAGGTCCCTTCTCGTGACTGGGTTTTGAATGCAAAGCATTATGAGGGATGTGAAGGATAAGAGCATGCGAAGGATGTGAAGAAGAGATAGGTCTAAGAAAAAGGCACGGAAAGATGAGAATGAGAAGCTACAGATGACCTACTTCACAGTTTACAGAAGGCTGGCAGCTGGCAACCTCCCTTAGCTATTGCCAAGACTTTGGATAATTTTAGTCACAGCTTAAGCACTTTTTATGTGTATGGATTCCACAGTAGCACTCCTTGAACTCTCATTTTCCACGTCTCCTAAAAAAAAAAAAAAATACGCATCCTAATATTTACCTTTGACTTTTCTTGGGAGGCAGGTTAAAACTTGTTTGATTCACACTGAACCTCCAAATGAAGAGAGGACGACCTTTGAACTTTCTTTTTGGCCAGTGTTTCTTGAGCTTTAAAAATTCTATTATAGTTGCTTAGCTCTTAAGCGTATGACTATTAGTTGTTAAAATATAATGCCCCTCTGTCTTCATCAGAAACGCTAAAGCCTCCCTCTATTTTCATCGCTGGCGTGTTAGTATGACTTGGTGTCAGGTCCCTTCTCGTGACTGGGTTTTGAATGCAAAGCATTATGAGGGATGTGAAGGATAAGAGCATGCGAAGGATGTGAAGAAGAGATAGGTCTAAGAAAAAGGCACGGAAAGATGAGAATGAGAAGCTACAGATGACCTACTTCACAGTTTACAGAAGGCTGGCAGCTGGCAACCTCCCTTAGCTATTGCCAAGACTTTGGATAATTTTAGTCACAGCTTAAGCACTTTTTATGTGTATGGATTCCACAGTAGCACTCCTTGAACTCTCATTTTCCACGTCTCCTAAAAAAAAAAAAAAATACGCATCCTAATATTGACCTTGACATTTTCTGGGAGGTCAGGTTAACATCATCAATTCAAATGATTAATTCCCTCAGTTCAAAAGAATATTTTTCCTGGTGCTAATATCTTTGTTTCTCTTCTTGTACTTTGTACTTTGTCTCTCTCTTTCTTATCTTTCCTAGCTTTACTAAATTGGCAATACATAGCAGGGACCATTTTCTTGAGGAAAATAATTTTTAAAAGTCTAGAGTAAGTGTGCAGTCTTTTGTAGTTATACCAGAAGGACATCCTTGAGGGGCCTGGCACAAATCAGCAATGATTTTTTTTTTTTTAATCTACAGAATCCCTATCCTCATTTTCCTACATGCAGAGAGAGGTAAGGTCTTGCTGCTCATGGCTTTGAGTGCCCAGCCACTGTATGACCACTCAGGGGCTCAGAGAGTGAGATGGGCAAGGGAAATGATATAGAAAGGCATTGTGTCCATGTTATGAGTAGATCTGCAGATTTTCCTAAAGTTTGAGTAGTTTTAATATTTACTTTTGAATAATTTTCTTAATCTTATCACAGCCTTCTTAAATCTTAGTAATCCTAGTCCTTTTTGTTCTTCTCCTTCATCCTCTCCTTTTCTTCTCCTTCCTCTTCCTTCTTCTTTTTTTTAAAATTAACTTTTGCCAGAAGGTGCGAGCATTTGCCAGAGAGAGCCAGAGAGAAGGAGAGGGGGAAAACATTCCATTATTGAGAATGGTCACACTGCAACACTTTCTCCTCCGTTACTCCATCCTGTTAGCATTTTGGGCATGCACATATACATGCCTGGCAAGTTTCTCCAGCCACTGGGTCTGGGAACGTGAACTACAGGGTCAGCCATGTGGGATCAGGCTGCCTTAACCACTAGGCCATGAAGCTGGCCTCCTAATATTCCTATTTTTAAAAGAATGAATTAAATCTCTGGGAAAGCTCAGGAGAAAGTCTCCCCCAATCTCCCTTCAAACAGGTGTTATATGATTGATAGAAAAACACATATGGGAATTTCTAAGAAGTTGATTCTCATACCCTGCTCTGGTGGATGCTTCCTGGGTAGTTGGCAGTTGTGACTCACATCTGTTGTGAACTGGCCCAAAGCCAGCATCTTCTGTTCTCTGAATTGGAAAGGAACTCAAATGTAGGGTGTTAGGGGTACAGGGAACCACAGGATGTGGACATTCTGAGGCTCAGGTGCCTCATAAGGTTGATGCAACTGTTGGATCAGGAAGCTGGTGAGTAGGCCAAATAAGTATGGCCATGAGCAATTTCCCAGTACTCGGGCCCCATCTGTCTTCCGACTTCCCACTTCTCTCCGAGAACACAGGCTTTTCCAGGTTTATTAGCCAATCTATACAGTCAGGTCTGACCATCGCTATTAGTGTGGTGGAGGGAATATTGTTGAACAAGGAAATCCTTTCTCCAGATATAATGGAGACCAGAAACTTGGGGGCATGGATGCCAAAAAGCCATGGCAGAACCATCCCAACTCTTCTTGGCAAAAATCTCTCCAGAGGGAAATGAACGATAGAAATAAATCTTCTTTCTTGCTTTTCTCATTAAAATAGAGCTGAGTAAATCCCGGTGCAAAATTGTCTTCCCTCTACACAATCAATTCACATTAATCATGAAATTAATTAGTATATGTAGATAGAATCTTAATTTTCATCACTACATTCTGTATATGCAGAAACAATGCATAGGAATGAGGAGAAATATGTTCAACTGGAAATGCAGAGTGATTACAGATCCACTTTACACTCAGTCCTTGGAGTCTTTGCATTGGAGGAAAGGAAAGATTTCACCCTGCAATCAGGTTCATGTACTTTACTTTGAGTCTCCGACTAACTCAAGACTGTGTTGATTTGTTTTAGGTTATTTCTGAGTAGACTAAACCTGCTATAATACATTTTAGAACAATATGTGGAATTAGGAAAATGAACATAGACCAGAGACCTTGAATTGTCTAGGTGACAGTGCTTCTTTATTCCATCAAAGGCATATGATGTGGATAGCTCCCACAAAAGCCCATAGAACTGGTACATCCAAGGCTTTGCCTGGGAGCTTCATTGAGTTCATATATCCTGTAGAATCTAAGATTTTGTTCCGAACCTTTACAGGACTGATACATTGATAGCTCCATTTCTTTTGATGACAAATTGTAGTGAAGAGGTGTTGGACCTTGATTTACATAGAAATCCCTGAGTTCTTCTGAGGTGGCATCTTCAAGAGTCATAAAGTCAATGGGGTTCAGGTTCAGTCTCAAAATGCTGCTGCTCCTTGCTCACTGCTCTGGGGAAAATGCCCACAAATGGCGCAAGGTGGTGCTAACTTTCAGAATTGCATGGGTTGGGGTGGGACTGAGAAGCAAAGATACAGGAATTGGAAGGGACCTGTTTTACATCACTTCCTTATTGGTACGTGTGTAAATGATTTCGGAATGACCGTTGTTGGAGAGTTTACGGCTCAGGATGAGAGAAACTCAGAGAGAGAGAGCTGAGAGATGGAAAATTTGTAGAGTGTCAATACATTCTGAGCAGATTTTTTTAAAAGTATGATTTAAAAAATTAGAGGTCCAAGAATCAAGAATAGAGAGTAATACTTAAGAATAAATGTAGCAGAAGACACCAACTCAGTGATTGGGTTTGAAACAACACTGAGGGCATTTTTCACTGATGTAATACTCCAAGGTAGTCCAGTCTTAAGCTCTTTACTCCTGGTAGCTGCCTGGGATAACAGAAAAATGAAAGAGGAAATCTCTCCCTAGAGTTTCCTGAAGTAAATAAAAATTTAGCTTGTACATTGATCTTGCAATGGAAATAAAAATGCACAGAAAAGCCTTGATGAGAGTTAGCTTTAGAAGAGAAATGCTGGGAAATGCTAATAAACCATGGCACTTACAGAAACAATGAAAATTCCAAGCTTAATAGATGGTCATATTTAGCATAACTTGGGACATCTAACGTTCTATCAGAATACTGGTATGAATATTTCAGTGAACTTGGATTTGGATGCCTTATACTGAGTAAGCATGACAGCTGCTAGTTCAATCAGGGAGACCCAGGGGACAATCAGTCTGATCCCTGATTCTGTTGTTGATCAGAGTGTCTGGATCAAAAACACACTATCTTGTGTTTTTCAAGACTTTTGTTACTGAAGGCCACACAGGGCTGTTACTATACCTGAGGCCCTTGTCTTTTTAACACTGTTTATGTATAGCATGGGACATACTGGAGACATGGATGGCTTATTGCAAGTCCTGTCTATGACCTAACTAATATCAGGTCAAATAGCTCACAAGGTTGGATTCTGATGCTATAATATGGGAACATAGACTTTCTGTTTTTTTTTTTTTTTCTTATTACTTCAAAATGTGACCAGGTAATCTATCTAGTTACTTAGGAGTCAGCTATATCTTACATTCGTGCAGGAACATTCTAAAGAGTACTTTTAGAAAACCTGGGAAAGTACCAGACTAAAGACAGGCCCTAGCCGGAAGATCAGGCTGCTGACTTGAGCACAGATGGGAGACTGTTAACAGCCAAGAAATATGAGGTCTTTGGCTCCTTTCCCAGAACTGCCAGGCTAAGACCTTGGCAAAGACTCGACAGGAAACTGAACTCTATTTGCATATCCTTTTATACATGGGAGATTAAAAGCTTCAACCTTGAGTGATCACAGTTTTTGAGAATCACGATGAGGCATTAAAGAGAAGGAGGAGTGTCCCAAGGGAGGTGAGCTGGAGGCGATGCAAGGTAGGTATGAGGTTAGCAATGACTTTCAATCCCCTTTGATTAATCATGAGTCTATTTCATTTAGTTCCTTTTTTCAATTTTATCTTTTTTGGGTCACATAAAGGAATCAGCTAGACAGGCATTTATACTTCCTAAATCTTGGGAATCTGTTAAATTTGATCTCCTTCTTCTCACAGCCATCTTTTCCTTTTTCTTGTGGGGTAAAGACCTATAGCTTATTAGTGCTGAAGGAACCGTAGAGATAATTTAGTATAAATGTTGTACAGATAAGAATATGAGACTCAAAGAAGTAAACTGACTTGCCTAAAGTCATACAAAAAGTTAGAAATGGGAGTTCTGACTTTTAAGTGATTTTTTTTTCTTCAGCAGGCTGCTAGCCCTCCTTAGCAGGTGGAAGTTTCCTCAGATCGCAAAGAGCCTCCTTCCAGAGTGTGAATTGGCACAGATACCCTTCACCATTTTCTCCTATGAGAACAAGCATTTCTGGCAAGACAGTAGCTCTGATTTCTTGGCTTTTTTCCCCTTAGTTCTCCTGGATCAGGTCCTTATGAATCTTAATGGAAGATGTCAGAGAACTGCAAGAAGATATTTATTGTCGGGACCATTTAGGGGAACTTGATTTTCTTGGTCAAGTACTACAGTGAAAACTAACCCATGTAGACAGCATGGGCTGCATGAGGATGGACAAATGTCACCTTCCACAGGTTAGTCATTAACTTTATAGTTTCCTTTTTAAGGATGGGAAAGATCTCACTGTCCCTTAAAAGGTACAGTCATTAAATGTATCTGAATACTGGGGAGGCCCTTTGGGGAGCATCCCTAAGGCTGGGCAAAGCCTAGATTTCTGAAAATTGAGAACTTCTTGTCTAGCTCTTATCACAGACATCTGTACCAAGTCTGTGGTACTTCTGGTAGGACTAACACTGGGCGAAGTCACCTTCATCAGGTATAGATGGAGGGCAATGAAGACACAACATCTTTTTGGGGAGTTAGACCCTCGCAGTGATGATCTTGCCTTTGGGACTTTCACTATCATTAGTGCAGGGACTTTAGAGAGACTGTGTGGGAACGACATTCCTGATGAGGTAGTTTTGTGAAAAATATGCTGGCAGCACATTTGGATTTTTTGGTCTGGAAAAATGCTAGTGGTCATTGGCTTTATGCCTTCCTCACGCTAGCTCCATCATGTTTTTTCTCTTCTGGGTAAAACCCACTCTACTTCAGACCATTATGTTGAGAAGAATAACGTATTAGCACTAGTGAGCATCTCTGGTATGCTAGTCACCTGGGTGTACTGGGTGCTTACTAGTAATTATTTAACTTAATCCTTGTAATAACTCTAGAAATTACTACTCCTGTTTTATGGATGAAGCAATAGAGGTTTAGAGAACTTAAGCAATCTTTTTTAAAGCCCAGAACTATTAAGTGAGGAGTTGTGATTTTCATCCATTTTCGTCCATTTTCAGAGCCCATGCTCTTTTCACTACTAAAAAACCCCTCACATATAAAAACATACACAGTTTATAGCACAATTTAAAAAACTTGTTCATGTTCACGTACGTGACTGGACCTTGCCAAAGTTAGGGGCAGTTTTCAGATTTTTTTGAAGTTCAACACACATTAATATTTTTGTGAATCAGAAGCCTGTTTTTGTATATCATTTTACCTAGCTGTGCTATATCATCACCTATTTAAAAGAAGAAAATTCACCTCCTTACATTGTACCAGAAGACTTTTTGTTAAAACAATGTGGACGTTTTTATGGTTAGTAAACATGGGAAGATTACAGGAGGTAGTAATGTGGAACTCAGAAAAAACCCTACTCTGATCTTTCACCTTGGCATGATCACATTTTTTGCCCTGTGTCTTTCCTCCAATGTTCCATAAGTCAAGGATTAAGAAAAGCAACTATGAGGGAAGGCCAGCCCCACCTAAAAGGTACTCATGGGTTAGACTTTCTGCGTACCCAGCAACCATTCAAAACAATTATTTTGGACAATAAGACCTCTGGAAGAATCACTTGGGGCTAGTTGCATGGGATCCCCATCACATTTCTCCTCACTCTCTACTCTACCCAGGTCTGGAGGCATTAAGTTGGAAGGAAGAAGACCAGGAAAATTGAAAGGAACAAAGCAAAGAAGTGATGTTTCAAATGAGAATGAGAGAGTCATTCCAAGTGTGATCAAGGTGGAGGTGTAGATCTAGGAGGGAGAAAGCCAATTAGGGAAAG